ATTAGCCTCATGGATATTCAAAGTTTTCACCCTTTGTGGGGGGGGAGTACCAGAAGAAACGGACCGATAGAACCCCACTTCACACCAGACCTTTGGATAATAAAAATGTAGTGTTGTGTATAATTTGAAGACAATTGGAATTTTACATCCATTTGATAAAGTTATAATTATTCAAAATGTTGACCATTTGTGCGGGAGATACACGAAGGAGAGGATGGATACATTCCATCTTCACATCAGATCTTGTGGTAGTAGAAATAATGGGATGTGTGAAATATGAAGAGAACTGAATGTTTTTTCGGATTTTATAATCGTTTTTGTTATTCAAAACTTTTACCCTTTGTGGGGGAGGTACCAAAGGCAATGTTCCGATCTCTACCATCTTTATAACAGGTATTGTGTTGATGAAAATATTGAGATGTTCCAAGTCTGGAATGGAATGGAATGTTAATTTCGCGTTTTATGAGCCTCATGGATATTCAAAGTTTTCACCCTTTTTGGGGAAGGTATCAGAGGGTGTGGACAAATAATATATACCCTCTGTAGCCATAAGGGTGAAAATACATAAAGCGCATATTTGGTTGGCTTAAGTCATCGGCTGGCTTCTTCGTAGATGAACAAAGAAGTTTTAGGTTGATTTAGTTCGATTTTGGCCCTAGGCTCCTATGTCAATTTAGGAAGAAGCCAGACAATGATTTAAGCCGGCCAGATAACTTAAGCCAATCAAAAAAGCATTTTATGTCTTCTGACCTTTAAGGTGGGAATACATAAAGCGCTTATTTGGCTGGCTTAAGTCATCGGCTGACTTCTTCGGATATGAAGAAAATAGACTAGGGCCAAAATCGAACTAAGTCAACCTAAAACTCTTCTTTGTTATTTTAGGAGAAAGCACCTTTATTCTCATACAAAAACTTCTCATGACCTATTTCTTTTTAAATCCGCTGTGGAATCAACATACAAACGTAAGGGTGGAAATACATTGGCTAGCTTCTTCGTAGATGAACAAAGAAGTTTTAGGTTGACTTCGTTTGATTTTGGCCCTAGGCTCCTTTGTTCATTTCCGAAGAAGCCAGCTGATGACTTAAGCCAGCCAGATAACCGCTTTATGTATTCCCACCTTAATGCATCAATGGTAGTTTATGCGTTACACCCCAAAGTCGCAAGTAATTCCGTGAAGGCGTTATTTAAACTTTGCATTTGAACATTTTGACAATGCAGAGGAGATATACTGCCTAGGTGTAAACAACCCACTGTGCATTATCATTATTGGGATAGGCCTGAATCTATTCACTGTGTTTTTTGTTTCATTTACAACAACCAAACACATCAATAACGGGAATATTTAATAAAAAAAAATTTTTTTCAACTTTTATAGATATTTGTCAGTCTGTCCACCTGATGATCGGTGGATCACTCAGCAATTGGTCGTCTCAAATAATGCACAACAACATTTCGTCAAATTAAATATCAATCCGAATGTCTAGCAACAACATAATTTAATGCGACTCTGAATGTATTTGTTTCTATGACAACTGGCCGCTAGCCGGGTATTTTTTTATTATTTCTGCCAGCCTTTCTTCTAGTTTTCTTTCAATATTTTGTTATTTTCCAAACGATTATCAATGAGAAGAGAGTTGATCACGAGTTTTGTTGGTTGGAGAGATTGTGGTGTTGGCGTCATTGTTTCGCTGGTGATCGAGGTGCTGCCGCTGCTACTTCTGTTAAACGAGTAAGTTGCGTTGCTGACACAGAGGATCTCACGAACCACCATCAACATCATTGCGACCGGTACGATCACTTTCACTAATGTTTCATTCGAACTTTGTTTCGAATTGGTTTTGCGGGTTAGTATTGCGATTGCGTCGTGTGTAATTTTGTGCAAATGACGTTATTGAATTTTAACTGTAAACTAAATACTTATATCCTCTGCAATGCCATCACCACCTGCATACGTACAATGTGTCGTGTGTGTTATCGAACCGGGAGGGAAATTTTCATTAGAGTTTTTCAAAAATTTTATATCCATCTCATTAATTTGCTAATGCTTCATCGGTTTGGAGTGCATTGAAAGTAGTGTGAAATTGAAATTTTGATAAATTTATTTTAATTTATTATGATTTAGAAATCAGATCCTAGTGAAAGTCACATGGTATGTCAAAAACACAAAGAGTTTTACTACAACTAAGCCATTAAAAACGTGTCTATGATCAAGTGAAACCTTTATTCTTTATAGGAGCTGTCTTCAGCAGCCCTTTTTTACAAAATTCCCATTTTTTTAATTATAAGTCAAATAAGTGACATATCTTCGAAAAACGCGTATTTTAGGCGTCGCTGAAAAGCTGATTTTAGGGACATTACAATGACAATGTGTGCCTTTGATTGGCAAGCCAAAATTGCACAGAGAGAGAGAGAGAGAGCAAGTGAAGGGAGCAACGTTTACACTTGAGTTATTCAGAGTTTGCAATTTCTTACTATAAAAATATTCTCAATAAAGATTGTCTGATCAGCTTTGTGAAAATTTTAAAGTATTTTGAGCAATAATTTTATTATTTAAATTATTTTTCAGACAATAGACTTATAAAATTAAATTTCAATTTCATTAAAAAAAGATGAAATTTTGATTCGAAGCTCTCAAAAGCAAATACACTGTAAGATTGATGGACAACGGAAAACAGCATGGAGGTCATATAAAAGGGCCAGCAAAACGAAATTTTGTGCTGAAACTAAATTTGTGGAGCGCATATTATTCGCGCGAGGGACTTTAACACCAAATCGGATGAAACATATACAGGGTGAGATGAAAAAACTGCAATCAACTTCAGACTGCTGTCATTTCTAAGCCACTCGTCCGACTGCTGTTCCGTTGGCCACCAGAACTCAAGCGCCGGTCATGGTGATGGTGTGGGCCGCCATAACAGCCGATGGTCGCTCTCCGTTCGTATTAATCGACCGTGTCATCAGTATAAATGCCGAATATCGTCGCGAAAATATTCTGGAGGGTGTATTAAAGCCTTTGGCACGCCTGCAGACCTTGGACATTCGAACAGGACTCGGCACACGCCACCCAAGAATGGTTTCAAAATGAGGGTCCTCGCTTCATTTCCAGCGCACAATAGTCACCAAAATCTCCGTATACCAATCCGTTGGACTATTTATTGTGTCTGGAGTATTTTGGAAAGCAAGGTTGGCACTAAAAAATACCAAAGTGTCGATCACCTCAAGCAAGCGATTCGCCGGGAATGGGCCAAAATATCGCAGAACAACATTTGAAGCCCATAATTTGTGCCAAAGGTGACCAATTCGAACAAATCTAAACTTATTCTAAAATTTGAACCGATATTCTCCGAATTTGATGTACATGCTTCTAGACTGAATTCGGTTATTTGAAAAGATATTGTCCATTTGGTGCATAATTACCCGAAATCGGTTGAAAACATATAAGGGAGCTATACCTACATTCGAACCGATTCTCACCAATTTCAATAGGGTTCTTCCTTGGAACAAGCAAATATTGTTTTGGAAATTTTCATCTCAATCGGATAATAAATGCGACCTGCGTTTTGTTCACAAAAATACATGGACAGAGGACTGACAAAGCACAGCGGAAAATGAAAAAATTATATAAGAAACAAGCTACCACAAGAAAGTCGAAAACAATATTCACACATTACCCAAAAATTACTTCTAATGAAGACCTTATAAATGTTACTGGACCAGGTAATTTGTTCAAATTTAAAAACAAATATAATAAGTAAGTCGTCCAAAGATCGGCCAGTGAATACACTGAGAAAAATGTGGAAAATTCCAACTTTACATCGGTAGCTTTTCACAATTTAGATGGAACTTTCAGCAATGTGAAGCTGCAGTCGGTCGACAATGCTTCCTATGCCTTTGGTATTTAATCTATCCTGACTTCAGGACCACCTTCTAATGCAAATGTTCCATGTTATCCAACAGGAGACATATGGCCACATATGTTATGCTTATGATCACCTCACTCCAACTATGGAATCCAGTGTTTTGCAGGGGCCAAAAACTGATTGAGACCTCACGGTGCATATGTAGGTAAAAGTTGATGTAGGTAAAAGTTGAAGGTGTGTAGTTCCGCCCTTGTCGGAACTACACACCTTAGCGAGACCAAACTTAACCATCCGCAAACTTTGCAAAAATGCCTTTCAGGAAAACCAGGACGCTGTCAATCAGGAAACATTAACAATTTCTGCTGATAAATTATCTGCCATGTCAACCCATCTCAGAACTTAAGAAGCTATTGTAAAGACTTCCAAGACATCACTGCATCGGACATCAACCAATCATCGATGGTGAATGCAATGCTAAATCAATACTTTTCAGGAATTCCACACATTTGTTTTACAAGTCTTGGTCTCCCACTGTTTCTGAGGTATACAGCATTCAATTTCAAGCAGACAAAGAAATAAAATGTTTTCCGTTTCTTTGTCCATTTTCCATTCTGATTTCCTTTTCAAAGTTCCTTCGATTCCAGACAAGCTCTTATCAAATTAGGTCCGTCAGACTTTGTGTAATTCCATATTATAAACATCAAAGTGAATAAAGAATATTTTTATGGCGCCCAAAAGTATGCTTTGAATTTATTTATTTGATTAATTAACAGGATGACTCGCAGTTTTGCTTAACTACAGGGTGCTTCTGGATAGTGGCTATTCAATTCAGTAAAGGTTTATTGGCAGGTTGGTGCATATCGAGCATTTTACATAGCTCCATTATTGTAGATCCGGAATTAATTGTTTTCCAATCATCATTAATCATATACAACTCTTTTTCGAAGTCAAATTTTTACCCAAAAGAATTGAAATAAGTGGTCAAAACTGTGCGCCGATATTGTGCATACTGAATTTTTGTGTTTTGAAAATCCGCAAAATTACCAAGGGAATTAGTGTCAACATTTCGATTCACAATATACGGCATAACAAATTTAGTATAACCTTCTTTTGGTGGTGGGTATAACAAGTTCAGTACACTTTTTTTAAGTTGATATTTTTTATTGATTTTAATGTTATTTTAAGATTCACAAATAAATAACTTACTAAGATAATGTAAAACAACTGAAACTTCAAAAACACGTTAATGGTTTCGATCGGTTTTATACGTATGTTAAGACGATCGGTTTTAGGATAAAATTTCTCAATTTTTAATAAATATTTTGAATAATTAAAACTTATGTTTTCCCAAAAGATATTGCTTAAGGATATTCCTGCAAATCTTCTAGCTCTCTAAATGCTAGTGATATTTTGGTTTAGCTAAATGCTCAAAAATGTATACGTGGCAGTGATAAGTTGTAAATGTGTTTGACTTAAGTCCTATTGAATACTATCTTATTATAAATCTCTAGAATAATTACTTATGGTATAAAATTTCGTAGATTAACAAAATTGGGGCAGTATCTCTCATTGCTTATTAGAAAAGTTTCAAACTAAATCGTGCAGAATAAATTAAATGCAAAATGAATTCGTATGCATTCGATCGATGTAATTTATATCTACCATTTCAGGCATAGGAAAAGGGAATCTTCAAGGAATAATAATTCAATGTTCAAGTAGATTTTATGACATTTGTCAACTCACCCATAACCGTATCCCAATGAAAACCCATTTTATCATCTTCCAGTTGCAATTTACAAAAGCCCGGTATGTGTTTCAACAATGTCTGGAATGGTGTATATTGTTGAATGCAGGCACTGTCGCCCACAATGATAAGCTTGTGTTTTGAACGTGTTATGGCCACAGTAAGACGACGTTTATCTTCCAAAATTTCAGCATCCCTACAACGTTCAGTGTTCTTAGAATCTGACGGACCCGTACGTGAACATGAATAGATAATAATATCCTTATCTCTACCCTGATACTGATCAACAGTATTAACTTCAACAAGTGAAAAATTAAGTGCAGGCGTTTGCTTTTCATAAAACTCATGGTGTTGCAAAGCAAGTTTGCGCAATAACTCCACCTGTGCCCTGTACGGTGCAATAACACCAATGCGATCTGGATCATAATTATTGGCCAACAAAGCCTTGACTATATAGAAAACAATGGCGGCCTCACAATAATTTGAATATTTCGAAAGTCGTTTTGAGGTTTTTGTATCAGATTTTAGTTTTTCCTCCGCAGAGGAGGCAGTGTCTTCACTAAATGTCTTTTCGATTAGTTCACAGGTTGTACTGTGCTTAGTTTTGGCATACAATGACGAACGTTCAGAACAATCTTTGGTGTCAATCAAAAATACCGATTGATCAACATGTATTTGCAATACTCTTTGCAACCATTTGTCTTCGGTGTTAGCCACGGTAATTGGTTGCGTCATCTTAGCCATTTTGATGTCATTCGATGCGCATTCCAATGCTCCATTGTAAGTCAAGTCATTAGCCAATTTGGTAATTGTTTTATTCATACGATACTGTAGGGTTAAAACTGAAGTAGCCTCTTTGGAATCTATACGATGGAAAAGCGACTCGTCTGCCCCTCGTTTTCTAGCCTCAGCTGATTTTACCAAAGGTGGCAGTTGTTCAGGATCTCCAACTAATATAAAACGATCACAAAAGAATAGTGGTCTCAAAACAGTCGGCTGCATTACTTGAGTAGCTTCATCCACAATACAAAAATCAAAACGTCTATGTAAAAATATGGCATTAGATGAACCCAAACAGGTCACACCCACAATACGGAAGGAGTCATAGAGTTTACTTAATTCCTTTTCAGTGTGGCACTTTGCTATTAATGTCGATTCACATGAATCTCGTAACTGGGCATTGACACGAGCTCCATTGCCCAAACGCAAGAAGGGCACATTATGGGGTTTAAGACGCAATAACAAATTGTCCACAGCCGAGTGAGTGTGACTGGTGATTATGATGGACTTTCCCATTAAATAAAGTAAACGTATAATGGCCACCAGAGTTTGGGTTTTACCTGGAAAAGTAAAGTCGATATAATTAGTCGATTGTTGGTCGGACTGTAAGCATTTGAATTTCTCACCTGTTCCTGGCAAACCTTTTATCAACATAAATGACTGCGTTGTTAGAGCCTTTAGGACAGCAGAGCGTTGAACAGCATTCAATTGTTTCAAAATGTCACCACCTTCGGTGCTAATTATTTTTGGCAAAACTTTTAAAAATTTTGGCTGTTCAAGTTCCACAACAATACTCCTCAATCGTTTCGACTGTTCCGTGTCATCCAAAAGTATACCCAAATTTGTGAAATTAAATACATTGCCCGATTGGGATTCATATTTATCAATAATAAATGTTTGTTTAGAATAGTTTTGCATGAGATTTCTTTCTAAACTGATGGTAATTGAGGTCGAGTCCAAATCAATGATGGATCCCGCGGCAATGGCTAGACGTTTATCTGTGGACACAGTAACATAGTCACCGGCAGAAAACTAAAAAAGATAATTATGAAATAAAATTAGAAGAGCTGCGATATTTTAAGGTAGCTAATGATATTTTTTATGGCTTAATGGAACTCATTACTATTTGTTTTTTTTTTTCTTCGAATAATTTTGGTTCGCATCTCTGAAAACATTTGGAATTTTATTTTCTACTCTTCGTCATACTTTTAGCAAATGAATCGGCAATGCACCCATCATTTAAAAAAGATTGGCGATACAACAATTACAAACTGAATTGAAAGATTTCATAAAAAAACATTAGATGAAACCGAGAGGTTCAAAATGGTTCTTTACACACAATTACAAAATATAAAATATAATATTATTACCTACCCCAAATAACATTAAATCCATTTCCTCCTGTTCTTCCCCATTAGCCTCCTTTGCTGCACCATTTTGCTTCTGGCCTAAGACAAAACGGTGCAAGTATCGATGTTCTTCCTTCTTGATTGCTTTGCCATCGTCGGCAATTTGTAAACCACAAATGGCTCGGCCCATTTGTTCACGTTCATCCGGCGTATGACACCATAGAGCCCTTTGAAAATTTGATTTACGAGATTCATGTTCTTCCATTAGAAGCAAGTGACACCACTTATTGAAATACTCATAATCTTTGTGGGTCAAGTGTTTCAGATTTTCCTCCGACAATTTGCGTATTGGATGATTGGCTCGAAGCTCCAGCGAAGGATCTGTCTTGGCAAAACTACAACATAATGTTGCATAAGCACACTGGGCGCAAGCATTTGGATGGGAAATAGGTTCAGGCAGGACAAATGGTTGAATGAATTTATCATCTGGCAACTTTGTGTCTAATGGAAGATTTTCAATATCAGGCCAAGCATTTAAATAATGACTAATTTCATTACGAAGTGTTATCAAATCTCGTTGTTCGTTACGGCTGCTGGGAATTTCTCGAAGAAATCCTTCTCTCAGATATAACAGCAAGCCCGAATGTGTTGGCTTTCCCAGTGCAGTCAACATCATTTGATATAATATTAATTGTCCTTTATGTTCCATTGAAAATGTAGCTCTTCCGGTCTTTAATTCCAAGGGTAAGATTTTCTCCTGTTTTTCAGTGAATTTTGTGATTTGACCCCGTTTAGAACGAGGCTGAACCTTAACAGAGACATCGATTTTTCCCTTTATACCTAATTGTGGTATCCAAAGATTTTCTTCAATATCGCGAATTTCACTAATGCGATCATGGAAATTTTCCTTTTCTATTGGTATGCTATTATCCTTTTTATCAATATACTGTTGTACAAATCTATGAATACTTTTGACAAACTGAAACACTTCCAACGTGGTGTCTTCTCGTGTTAATTGACTGCTGTAAAGCATGAATGCTGTATCCTGGGAGTTTAAAAGATCAGTAGCTTCCTTTTCAATGGCCTTCAAATCGATTATCCTCTTTTCCAATACAATTTGTAGAAGTTCGTGTACCAAAGAGCCGATGACCATCTAAAAAATCATGTAATTAATTGCAAAGATAAATTATTTTCAAATTATTCATACTTACCACTTTATTGTTGGGATCAATCCCCTTGAAACGATCCTGCAACACAGCCTTTCTCCGACAGAACAATGACCCGACCACTGTAGTGCCAGAAATCAATGAATCCGGATTGACAACACAAAATCCTTGATCCTTGTCCACCTTGTAGGCATTTACACTTGCATCATACTCCGCCTTTATCGATACGATATCATCAACGGATATACGTGTATGACACCAGGGACCCTGGAGGTAACATTTAGCTTCAGCCTCAACTTCTGTGTTATCATCCTTCTTCACGTTTGCCATTACTTTTATAATCAAAGCAAATGTCTTCTTTTCTCTTTCCGTTTCCAGAACGCGACATCTTTGCCAATTGCTTAAATCTAGACGTTCTCTGGCTGCGCTTTTCTCAGCAGCCTCGAAATCGACCAAATCAAAATCATCTTCTTCATTAAAAAGGAAATCATAATTCTCTTCGGTATCCTTGGGTTTAAGCTCGTCCGTGCCATCTATCTTGATCTTTTTACCATTTCCATTTTCCTGAAGCAATGGCGAAATAGATCTTTTGTTTATACCGAGAGACATAATGCGAAAAATTAAAAGAAATCCAAAGAATTATTTAAATACAAATAAGAATGTTTCTTTCACTTATTCAACTTATTCACTGCAACATGTTTATGCGGTGGTGAAAGCGCGCGCTTTCGTTTGGTTTGGTTGTTAAGCTGCCCTCAGACACACCAACTTGTGACAAGTTGGTACAACTCATGGCCCAATTATAAGGTCTTCCTTCGAGCGAATTAATCTAAAAACAGATGTTATTTTGCCAGATGAAATGTCAAAATTCATGCTTGAGGCGAAAATATTTATTTTCGCCTTGACAGAAGAATTTTGTGGCGAATATGTTTGTTGTCATTTTTTTGTATGTATAACACATTGTAGAAAAATACAGGTAGACGCATCGACGCAGCTGCTGGGACAATGAACCGTCAAACCGAATTTGAAATTAAAAATGTTAAACGAGTAATTGTTGATATTTGTAAAAATTGCATATCATAACAACCTCCAATTTGCGTCCTATTAGAAAACGTATAAAAATCTACTTATTTTTGACAAAACATTTTAACAATTTTGACATATCAATGTTCCCAAGCATTGCAATATTTTTTTAAATAATTTTTCATTTTAAATTCTTAACTTAAAAATTGGTAAGTAAGTAAGTAAGTAAGTAAGTAAGTTACTTTATTGAGTCTTCTTCTTTTCGATGGTACATTTAAATACAAAGTGAACGATTAACATGAATTGAGACTGTTAGAACTATTGTTGTCTTATTCTAACGTACAATGAAAGTGTATAATATGCTACATGCGAATTGTGAAATCATTACACAAAATGTAAACAATGAATGAAGTATATAAGGCTTGCTCCCGGCCTCAACTGTAACTAACAGTGCTAATGACTGTGTACAATAAATAAATAATTAACAAAATCTTAAAACTAGTTAACAAAATATGACATCAAAACGGAGTGACAGTCAGTGCTCTTACACAGAATGTGTAATTATACATAAAAATTTCTTATTCTTTGAATATCACAGTAAGTTCTCAGCTAATAAATCGAATTCTCATAAAGAGAGATCTACAGTATAGGCTGCTTAAAAGTAAAAGTGTATATATTTTGTAACAAATAATGAATTATTATAATTAACTAATTTTACTGATTAACCTCTGTGGGTTCCAGGTACTGATTTAATGTAGAAGCGTGGTAAGGTATAGTCATCTGCGACATCTTCAGTAGGTTCGTTGAGAATACCCACTGTAGACAGATATGACGAATCTGACCAGGATATATTTTTCTCGATTTCGTGGATTTCGCTTACAATATGGTTTTCGTGAGTAGCCAATTTCTCTACAAACTTCCTTTGAAGTTGTTGGGCGTACTTACAAAATGGCACAACGTTAGAGATTTTGTATATGTAAGTATTTGAGAATTTTTTGTGATGAGATTGATAATATTTGTTTGTGCATTTTCTTAAGACCTTTCTTTCCAGAATTTCCAATTCGTTGGCAACTATTGGGGAAATAGGAAACCAGATTGGAAATGCGTATGTTAGGATAGATCTAATTGCCACCTTATATAGGAGCAGCTTGGTGTTTTGAGGTAAATAATTGCTGTTAAGGATGTTTGAAAAACTCGCTAATATACCTTTAACTTTTTGCATGATGGAACGAGCATGGTCGTTGAATTTTAAGAGATGATTGAATGTTACACCAAGGTACTTTAAGGATGTGCTGAAAGGAATTTCTACTCCTTCTAAAGACAATTTTAATTGCTTGCTTTCTGGTACAACTTTTCGTGGGCATTTGCCCGACGCATTACGTATGCATATGGCTACCGATTTAGCGGCATTTATTTTAATACCCCATTGTTTATAGAAGTTGTTGATTATGTGTAGGTGTTCTGAAGCAACACTCAGGGCAATGGCTGGCGAAGGATTATGTGCGTAGATTATGCAATCATCTGCATACAGGATTGCTTTGGAATGTTGATACATGTGTGGAAAGTCATGAAGAAACAGGTTAAAAAGGTATGGTGCCAAGATACTACCTTGAGGAACGCCGCTATTTACATGGCCCAAGGATGATGATGTATTCCGGATCTGAACCATAAATTTACGAGAATTGAAGAAACTCTTTAGCATTTTTATAATAAATGGATCTACTCCAAGTTGAATTAATTTGAACAAAATACCGAGGTGAGACACTGAGTCAAACGCTTTTTGTATATCCAATGATATTGCAACTGTGCATGATTGACTCCTTAAGTTTGTTGTTACGTCGTTATGAAACTTGAGAAGTGCGTGCTGAGTGGAATGTCCAGATTTGAAGCCAAATTGGTAGTTTGATATTGGATCAATAGTTAATTCATTGTTTAATTTTTCTTTCAGCACTACTTCCAGTATTTTACCAATATTTGACAAAAGGGAAATTGGGCGAAAGTCATCAACGTTGCAATTTGTTGTTTTCTTCTTGATGGGTACGATTTTGGCAACTTTCCATTGTTTGGGAAAGTATCCGTTGTTAATGCAATTATTGAAAAGGCACGTGAGTAAATTAATTGTGGATTCTGGAAATCTCTTGATTATAAAGTTTGAGATTTCATCAGGGCCGCTAGATTTTTTTGAATTGATGTTGAAAATAATGTTTTTTATATTTTCAGATGAAGTAAAGTGGTATGTGTCTGGATTGTGGAGAGAATTAAAATTTTCATCGAATGAATATATATGAGTTGGTGTTGAGTTGATACATGTTAATAGCGTAGAATTATGCTCATCTGAGGCAGGAAGTGTTGTTGAGTCTTCAAATATGGTGGAATAAAAATTCTTAAAATGATCTGCAATCTCGTTACTGTTTGTAATAGTGTTGTTAGCATGGTTGATCTGACGGCAGAAAGATGATTTATTGCTTCCTGTAAATCGGTATATTTCTTTAAAGGCGGACGGACTAGGTTTGATTTTTTGCAATCTATCATTAAATATTTGGGCTGTTTCTATTTTGACTAGCTCCTTTATTATTATTTTCAAGAGCTGAATTTGATTAGAAAGAATGGAGTACTCACGGCTTGTCCTGTTGCCTGAACGATGGAAGATTTTTTTGAGATTTCGTTGCCATTGATGTTTAATTTGTAGGATTTTCTTGATTTTGTCCGAGTATGGTAGGCTCCTATCCTCTATTTTAAATTTTTCGGAGTGTATTTCATGGATGTTGGAAAAATGACTCTTAAAACCGTTTAGAGTGGTATCAATCTCGTCATTGGTCAGGTTCCTATTGATGGAAGGCATTATTTGACGTGAGATAACGTCTATGTCCTGACGAAAGTTATGCCAATTAGTGTTTTTATAAGATATGAAGAATTGCGGAGGCGTCAAATCGATGTTTAAATGATCAAGTTTTAGGTCCAACTTAATGGGGAAATGATCCGAGAAAGTGGGTCTAGTGGATATAGTATAGTTAGGATTTCTACTGTTGATTAAATGGTTGCTGAGTAGGAAATGATCCAGGTAAGAGGTACCACTTGGATACGATGGGCTAGTATCGCATAACCTGATGACATCCATGGAATTATCTGATAACCAGGACCTCAAGACTCTTCCATTTGAGTTTTCGTAGGAGTCGCCCCATGTTGGACTTTTGGAGTTTAAGTCCCCTCCAAAAATGAAACCATCAAAGTTGCTAGATAACTGAAGTAATGTATTCAGATCAAGATCGAGGCGCTGTACAGGATAACTGCACGGGATATATACCGATCCCAGAAGGTATTTTTTTGTTGAATTGTTAGATGAGATTTCTATAAGTGTCGTATTAATGCCAGTGGCCGGAACGGAAACTCTCTTGAATTGAATTGAGTCCTTGATGAAAATTGCAACTCCAGTGGGAGAATTATCGTAGACAAAAGTGTATCCACTTATTTTGACACGCATGTTGGATCTGAGATGACATTCCTGGATGAATGCTATATCGATGTTATTGTGAAGTAGTGTGTTTTTTAATTCTATTTGTCGACTTCTATCCACAAGGGATCGTACATTGAAAGTAAGAAATTTTAGTGATCTATGGTCCATAATTCAATTTAACTTTATTAAGAAGCATTAAAAATTGTTTTTTTGCTTCGGTTTTTGACAAGTTTTTATATTCTGTTAGGAATATTTGAATTTCTTGCTCTAAGGTCAGCTCTTCAGGTTCCAAAAAAAGATTTGCTAGCTTAAGGAAGTCTTGAATTATTTGTGGTTTTTTGGTTGAATCTTGGGGAATAGATGTGACACTTTTAAATAAGTTTGAAAAAGTTTTTTCCGGTGAATATTTGGATGTGTTTAATGCTTTAGATACATTGTTTTGAGCTAGAGCTCTGTTTTCTAATGCTACTGCCATCTTTTTTTTCCTGTCGGAGGCATATTTTTTATAGGAGGGACATCCTCGCCAGTTGGCGGGATGACCTGTTTTTTCGCAATTAACACAGTAAGGTTCCGAGGTGTCTGTCTTGGACCTTTTACATTCTCCAGGAAGATGTTTGTCTTTACATTTAACGCATCTGTAAGAGCAATTGCAATTACGTGCTATATGTCCGTGCCCTTGACATCTTCGGCATTGGACGAAGGTATCCCTTTTTTTGGGTTTCTCCCAGATTATGGATTGGTATTGCAGTTGGCGAATATGTGAAATTTCGCCAAACTTCTTTCCTGGCAATAAGCAAACTAAGAAAAGACCCGTATCAGTGTTGTTTTTAATTGATGTCGGTGTTCTAAATTTTGAGACACTGGCCACTGTTTCAGGAACTAACTGATCTAGTTCGTTTTTAATTGCCTCTGGTTCAGTTAGAGAGAAGAGGTTTCGGATTATCAGGGATGTCTGCTTTTGATCCTTGGGTGTGAAAGAGTATGACTGAATATTTTTTGACTTTAAAAGATCCATCATTGAGGCATGAACTTTAGAATCTGCAAAGTACAACTTACTTTTGTTTTTATTTATATTTTTAATTTTAAAATTGCATTGTGGGGATGCGGCACGTAATGACTCTACTAGAGAGTTTATGTTGACATTGTATGTAAAAATCGGTGGGCACCAGGAGATTTTTGGTTTTGGAGGAACATTGATTTTGGTTGTGGTTGGATTGCTGACAGGTGTGGAAATGTCAATGTCTGCCAATGCCCCCAAAATGCCAAATTTGTTTTGGTCCTGCGGGTTGTAGTTGGTTAATTTCTCAGCCAGATCCGATACATTTATTGATGATATTGCACTTTCTAGGCGCAGTCTCTTTCGTTCGTTCTGTTTTGTCTTGTTTTCTTGCATACTAGTGGAGTTTGCAAAAGCCGGCAATTGTTTGGAGGTTGATGCGATCTCTTCCGTGACATCAAACTCCATGTCGGGGGGAAGAGAATCGGGATCCTCCATTGCAAAATTATGCAATTTGGAGGTCTTTTTCTTATGATTCTAACTTTTTTTAAATAATTTTTAATAGAAACTTAAAACAGCACGTCTGGTATGTTGTAGGGTTCACTAGGTTTTTCACTTAAAAATTGGTTTGACAGTTCATTGCCCCAGCAGCTATGCAATGCGACTACCTGTATTCTTCTACCATCGTTTTGAAGTTTGTTTTTGTTGCAGCGAATTCAAATTTAATTGACAGATCGTCTGGTAATCAGCTGAGCTGGAAGGGGGACCTTATACTTGGATCATGGTACAACTATTGGTGCGTCTGAGGGCTAGTTGTACAACTTTTTCGAAAGTTGGTTGAAGTTGGTTGGAAATATCAAAAATTTTTGATAATTTCGTAAGTTGGGCCAACTGTTGGTGCGTGCGAGGGCAAGTTGTACCAACTTCAGTATTTTCTTCATTTATGTCTTGACTTTGGTGAAGCAGCACATACATAAGCTGAGCGCTGAGCGTAAAATTATATCAATTCCAAGTAGTAATTCCAAAAATACTTTGTAAATGAAAAGTTGGTACAACAGTTGTATGAACATTTGGTACGTGCGAGGAGACCGACCAACTTTTTCATACAACTTAAAAGTGACAAGTTGGGCCAACTGTTGGTGTGTCTGAGGGCAGCTTTAGTTGCGAGCGTTGGAAACAAAAATGAAAAACGTCCCAACGATATGATATGGTATAATTGTTATTGTCTCATATATATATATATATATATATATATATATATATATATATATATATATATATGTCTTAAATTTTTAAAAAGTTAATTATTTATAAAAAAAAACTTAATAAATTCTAGGCCTATTCTGTAACTTTTATCGATTGAAAATTTGTCACATATTTTTTGTTATTAAAGAAAAAATAAAACGAACAAATGTATGGGCAGCTCCAGAACTGCACAAATATTAAACTTTTCAATACGATAACCGATTTTTTCTTTATGATATAAAAAAATTGCTAAACTAGTCGGCACTACAGTGAAATAAAGGTAACCTCATTTCAAATAAGTTTTTCCAGCTCAGCATTTTCAGTAATTTACCTTGTAAAATTTCAAAGCATAAAAAACAGTTGCTATCTCTGATTTTGTGTATATACAAAAGAAATTTTGACCATTCATTCAGTTTTCGCGGTTTTAAATTATTTATTCAAAATCAATCCAACAAGTTGTTTGCTTTTTTATTGTTTTGATAGTAATTCTGACATTAAAAGCCAAACAGGTTGACCTCTAAACTTGCAATTTTTTCAAAGTTGACCTACCTTCTCTTCATTGTACCATGCTAGGTAGTATGTTGAGAAAAAAATTGCAAGTATAGAGGTCTGCCTGTTTGGCTTGTAATGTCAGAATTAGTATCAAAACAATACAAACAACTTGTTGCATTTATTTTGAATAAATAATTGAAAACCGAGAAAACCTAATTTATGGTCAAAATTTATTTTCAAAATCATGTTCTATATCTCTAAAGGTTTATTTCTCTACAAAAACTGTAGATTTTGTCGATGTAAACGTTGAAATAAACATATTGAAAACACCTGAATTTGAAAGAAAACACATACATAAACAAATAAAGTTGACATATTAAGCCAAGAAAATAAAAAATTAAAATCATATGGTATCATAGCCCTACTTTGATTTTATTGTACCATGATACCAAGGGTTTATTGTTTAATCCGGAGTTATTCAACCTGATTTACTATACAAAAAAATACAATTTATTTTAAATCAAGTTTTTGACTTAAAAAAACATCACCAAGGGTTCTCGAAAAGTGTTTATTTACAACGAAGAACAGGAAAAAGAGAAAAATGGAGAAAGAAAAAATGTTCATATATTTGCGAAATATAAACCTATTAATTTTGTATAAATGTTTATTCTTTATTAATACAATTTATTAATAAACTTTTTCTGTGTCAATTTGATCCATTTTTATGTTTTTTTTTTAAATTAGATTTTCTGTTTCTCTTTTGTTTGTATTCTTAAACAAAGATCTTCTGACAAATTAATCTGTCACAGTATAAACACGCTATTAGAAAAATATAATAACAGTTCTAGATGATACGTTAACCACTCACATTGAATGCCATCTTTATTGACGATAAGAAGAAGTATCGAAATACCCATGCTCTGAGAGCAAATGTAAACAATGCCTGACATCGATTCGGTGAACATATCCTTACCAAGTCTTCTGGATGAGGTTTTTGCAAAATTCTCCCCAAGAGCTAGTAAAGAGAATATTGGTAAGGCTTATAATAATTAATCGTTAAAGAAAATTAATTAAAATCCTCAAATTTTCAGGTGAACTTTTAGTTGAATTGGATGCACTGTTAAGTTCACGTGTGGTGCAAGCGGCTTTACAATTGTTGGACTATCAAAATATTGTTATTTACCACAATTCTTCCAAAACCCAACAAATTGCTGAAATAAACGAAGGTTATCGTCACGGCACACTAAAATTGGTGCGTTTGTTTCCTCGCATTAACTACTGTACTTGTGATAATTTCCAGCAACAGGTGGTGGGAAACCAAACCAATCCATCTACAGCTCCATACACCTGTGAACACGTACTGGCCTTGCGTTTAGCGGTTCTACTTGAAAGTGATAAGTTGCGCTACGAAGAATTGCCTGCGCACAAATTGAAAACACTCTTCTCAAGGTTTTTGCCGGATAATGTCATTGACGACTAAAAATCGAATAGATTTCAATAAACCACTTCGTCCATCGGTCTGATGCAACATTCGAAACTTTTGTATGAGAAAGGAATTTTGCACAACAAAAAAATGCTAACACAATCCCAATATTCGAATTTCAAGTTTGTCGCTCGTCTTGATCAAATTAAAACTTTTACGGCCGGCATTAAGGCGTTACTTTTTGCAGAACATGGTGCTTTCATGATCAATGAAGATGGCTTCACTTGCACTGTCGAACAGGGCAAATGTATACAGGCTTCATTGTTTATGATGCCAGCGTGTTTTTCCGAGTTTTATGTTGATGGTGTTTTACATTTCAATGTAAACATGAATGTGCTCAATGAATGCTTGAGCATATTCGCTGGCATTGATTGTACTATGAAAATGTTGTACAAAGGACCCGAAGCACCGCTCATATTGGTTTTGGAACCCCAAGATGAATGTGAAATTAGCACAGAGTGCTCGATAAAAACCACTGTACAAGAAGAACCAATGGAATATTCATTAGACGATAACAGTAGCAGTCTGAATGTCATATTTATACGTGGGCCTGATTTATCGAATATTTTTCAAGAATTTGATAAATCCACTGAGGAGTTGGAAATTACCATCTCGCCGAGGAGACCACATTTTAAAATCGACACTCTCGGTGTAATGCAGTCTGAATCGAGCATTGAAGTGGCTAAGTCTAGCGACATGATTCTAATGTTTAATTGTCGTGAAACCACGAAGGCACGCTACAAGTCATCACTGGTTCGCATGACACAGAAAGCCTTATCGGTGGCGAGTAAAGTTGCAATTAAGACTGATTTAAGTGGCCTAATGGAAATGCATTTTATGTTACAAGATGACAGTCAGGCTGAGGTTTATATACAATTTTTTATAACGCCCTTGGCGGAAATGGATTAATAAAATGGTTTTATTATAAAACAAATTTGTTTGTTTAGAATTTATTGTAGATTTGTTGTTGGGTCGGATATTTTTCCAACTGATCATGTTAGTTAAGTAAGATAACCTATGACAGAATGAATTTCTGGTAGGAGTTTCATGAAACATAACTAGATCATGTACCCCTATTCAGTAAATTTTGTACCCATATTATATATCTTGTGGTCTTTAATAGTAGAGTTTAAAAATATATTAAAATGAAAAAAGAGCCTCAGGCTAGAAGGGAACATTTTTTTTGTCGCGAGATTAAATGATAGATTGCTTGTGTTTATTTAAAGGACGGTGGTTGGATGCTCATCGGGAAAGGAGGAGAGATTTTGGAGCATTTAATCAGCCCTGCTCAAAACCGAAAAAAGAGATAATTTAAGAGAAAGTTAAAAGTCTGTTTTCCTTATATTTTACGATTTCAAGTAATTGTTTTTAAACAAGAATGTCTGCCAAAAAAAAATTTAAAGCAAATGGATAAAAAATGTTTGTAAAAATAATATTTTAACATTGTTTTCTTCTTAATTTAAATAAGCAAAGAGAATTTTGACTGGAAAGAGAAATTTTTCTTGAGCAGCGCTGCTTTAATACTTACATGCTTGACAATGTCATATTAATTGTTGCATACTTACAGGCTCATAATAAAATTGTAAATATTTCTCAAGAATAAATATTTCGATTGTTCATTTTCGATACAAAAAATCGATTATTGATAATCGAACTGTATAGCCCTATGTGTTGTCTCTGCCAAAGACGTCTCTGCCGGCGCATGTTTTTGAATTGTTTGTTGTTGTCGAAGTGGACTGCATAATATTTGTTGGACAACAAAATGCAATTGGAAAGTGTCCTATCCTTTATATCCTGTTGCTATAGAAACACCGAAATCAACGCCAAATTATACGTGCATACATAAATACAAACAAAACAGTAAGTTGTGTCCAATTGTTCAGTTGTGGTTAAGACTGTGGTCGAAATTTTCTCATTTATTTTTCATAATTCAATTAACAAATTCTCGTTATTGAAAAGAGGATTACAAACAACCAGGCATAAATGCCAGTTAAAATTCCAACAATTGTGACAAATTTAAGTGAATTTCTATAAATTTTTATTCATTTCATATATCTCAATATGGAGGCTTTGCTTAAATACCTCGAAGAACATCAAGAGCTTACGAATTTGTTTGGATCAAACAGCGAGGGGAACGTGGCAACAATGGATGAAATGAACATAAAACCGCCACAACGGAAGTATGTGTCCATTTTCCGCATCGATGGAGAACCCATAATACCACCACTGGTAGGTTTCATATATATTATGAGTGTGGAAACAAAAACAGCTTTAAAAGAATTACTGAAGCGTACGAATGAAAAAAATTAAACATTGGCGTAGCGAAAAAAAAGATAATGGATTGCTCTTCATTTCAAGAATAGAATATTGAAAATAAGGTCATAATTTAAAAAAAATTTAAATGAGTTCTATATTTGCATTAGATTTTGCACATTATGATTCTGATATCAAGGATTCTGATCATAGCTGAATAGGAACCAAGCAAAATATAATGGAAGAGGTCCGTGTGATTCCCCGATTTCTCTGTACCATTTCACCGACTTCTCTGATCCGACTTAGATAGGGGACTAGTCCCCTCCAAAATAGTAAATTTTTAGATCATTTTAGAAAAAAATCTGCTGCTTAAAAATCTCATTTGTTATTATAATATTTAAAAATACAAATTTTTCAGTATCCGAGTAAAACTTGGGTGAAAAATTGACCATGTCAAGGTTGAGCTAAAATGCCAAACCAAACATTTGGTTAAGATGGCATGCCAAAAGTTGTGTGAAAATGCGGTGCCATTTGGTAGGCTAAAATGTCATGGAAAAACTTGGCCAAAATACCATGCCAAGTGTCAGGTAACAATTCCCTGTTTAGGATCTAAAATAATTCTTGTCTTTTTTTGTAGAAAGATTGTATTAAAATATCATGTCAACAGTGGTTTGGAATTCCGTGGATGGGTGAAGATGTCTTGGCAAGTTGTGCCAAATGTCAAGTAGTAATCCCCTGTTTACGATCTAAAATAATTCCGATCTTTAGCTTGCCATTCTTTTGTAGAAAGAGCACAAAATGCCAACCCATGCCACTTGACTGAAGAGCATTTTGGAATTTTGTGGGCATTCTCAATGCTATTTTCACTACGCCAATGTTTTTGTCTTCAATGAAGCGAAACCAAAGCCAGCATGCACAGTTATGAAGACGATTATAATGTTTACGCTATGTTTTCTTTTTGTTCTAGATGACTTCAGAGAAAATAAGACAAATGCAAAAGTACAAAGAAAAAGCCCTGAAAATCGAACAACGTTTGAAAGAACAAAAATTACAACAGACTACGAAGAAGACTACAAATGCCGACAATCTAAGTGAAACACCGCCACCGTCATCCCTATCAACAACTCTACCTGGAGAGGGGGGATTGTCATCGCATCGTTCGCAGGATTCATATGATCGTCGATTAAAAGAATCTGAAGAATCAATGATGATGCTAAAAGATATAATACGAAGACAATCGGAACAATACGAATACAATGCAACTGAAAATGATGATAAGCTTAAGAAATTACAAAAATCTGAAACTCTTATTTACGATAATTCTACAAATGAAGTTATAAAACAATTACCATATGATGAAGAGGCCAAGATGATACACCATGCCAAAGCAAATCAAGAAAAGAATTTAAAAGAAATAAGAGAAGATGTCAATGTTACCTATACACTACATAAAAAACCTTATCATTTAGAATTAATTGGTCTGAATGATACAGCAAAGGCGATTCCCTCGATATGTATTAATCCACCAACACCATTAATGGGTAATCGTTCAATTTGTGAACCACTTTCAGCAAATACTAAACGAGATGGATTCTTTGTTACCGAAACCAAACATATTCGACAACCTTTGTCCGATGATTCCAGTTCAGATGAGAGTTTCAATAGCATGTATACACATAGTGAGAAGAAAGTACCACCGCCAGTGCCGGAGAGGACATATAAGTTACCACGTAGCTCTAAAATGCATGATTTGAAATCATACAATACAACAACAACAAATGTTTCAGCCAAAATTCAACAATATGAAGCTATTCATAATGAACAATCAACACCGCGTGTCACACCCAACTCCAGTCCCAAGAAAAATAATCATGAATCATCGATCCTGGGAACTCCATCTGCAGTTATGAGCCGTTCGGCCACAAGTCCTTCAATAAAGTTGGGTTCATCGGTAACAAGACCTCGGACTGCTAATGAATGTTCCCAAATATCACCGGATAATACCCTCGTTAGATCTTCGTCCTTTACATTGGAGGGTCCTTCGAAGGCATTAATCGATCATATGCGACAACAACGTTCAGTAAGTGATAGAAATTCGTCAAATGGCAAAAATAAAACCCCCTCACCACCAGTTGTTGTAAAGAAAGCTCCAACACCTCCCTCCAGATTGCACCGGGATACGGTGGAGTCAAAGGCCAAACGTGTGCAAAAAGTAGAACTAAAACCCACACGGCAAAAAATTCAACAAAAAAGTTCACAACATAAATTGGCTCAGGCTGCAGCTGCTTCTATATCACCATACAAATCAAAGAGTTCGCCATTTCCAAAGCATGGTAGTACAGTGAATTTGTATAAAACCAAAAAATCTCCCTATGATACGCCAAACTCTACAAGGATATCTCCAACTACACCACTGTCTGGAAAAAGCACCAGCCAAACCAGGAAATCCCCTCCACTGTCATCTGCATCATCGTCGGCATCAAGTCAACGAACGATATCCAAATCTAAATCCAAAACTAGCATGCAATCACAAAAGGACAACTCAATGCAAGATGCCCAATCAGAAAAGGAAATTCTTACTCAAATGGATAAAATGCAAAAAGAGAAATTCCTCAGATTACTCAAACAACAGGAAGAGGAACAACGTAAACTGAAGGAATCATTTGAAATGCAACAGAAATTGCTCATTGAACAATTGAATAAGGAAATGACCTCCGTGTATGTGACCACTACTCCCAAACAATCAACATCGATGAATTTCAATGAAACATCTTCTAGAATTTCCCCTGAAGAAGATACCCAAGATACTCTTAACTTATCACACGACAATAGTTCCATACTGCCCTTAAACCTTAGCCATGAGAAAAATACCTCAGTTCATCCACAAGTGCCTCCTCTAGCTATATCGAATTTATCTTCAATGGACCATTCAAATGCCAACACCTCAATGGAATCGACATTTTCGACACGTTATGGTGATGGGACATCTATTGATCAAACCACTTTCCGTACCGAATCGATGGCGGAAGACGACGACCTTCTTACACCCATTGAGAATCGTTATACGCAAAGTAATAATGCAAATTCGTCATCACGTCGTCGTCTATTTCCCCAAGAACATATGATGAATACACCAACAACGGCAATAGATTCCACCACGAGACCTCTGACCATACATTCCCCTGGCAATAATCAACATTTACAGCAATCTTTACATCAGCAACAAACGAAAAATAAAGGTTTCATCAGTACAGTTCCAGCAACCAGTGTCAATAGCAAACGGGTGAGTAGTTTTACCTTGAATTGGATTTTATATTTTTGTCTTGGTTTTATGCCCTTAGTCTTGTGGCTTTTGGTCCGTCTCGACCTTTAACACTCAAAATAAATATTATTTTTGTTTCTTAATTTTGCAAAAACAACAAAACTTGGAAATGTCAAAGGTCTTTTACCAAGCGATATTTACCAGTATCTATCTGCCAAATTTGGATGATCTATGACAAAACTTGTAGAGTACCTTCCACCCAAAACAGAAGTTCAAACTAGATCAAGTTCGTCATTAAAAGCAATGGACCGGATCCTTAATACAAACTATATACCCAATTACTATGGTAGGATATAATATGAAACAAGGAATCAATCAGTTTTGCCGACAGTTGTATACCCTCAGTCTAGAGCAGCGGTCTAAATTTAAAGAAATTTCGAGATGAACAAATATCATCAAATTTCTTGAAACTAAGACCAGTATAGCCCCCGTATAAAGGTACCTGCAGGATTAAGTCATGGTTTTTAACAGAATATCCTGTAAATTGACAGTTTTTAGAACAGATGCTTGCAAAGAACTGCCCATAAAGGGCCGGTTTTGGTATAGTCTCTGTATAACTGTACCTCTCGATTATTAAATGATTTTGATTTTTTAATGGAAAGTTGTTATTTGGTGTTGACAATAGGTGTCATGTTACATGAAAGAACATTCACTCAGAGTCCCGTCTTCGCATAGCTCCTCGTGACTTTTCCACTCCATATTCTGTATTTCTTTGATTTGATTTGAGGCTCGTAATGGGTACCATCTTCAACAACAGAAAGTTGTTTATATATGTCCAATCCCCTGTTTAGGATCTAAAATAGTTCTGATATTTTTTGTAGAGTTGTAGAAAGGTCCACGCTTTGTATAAGCCCATATAAGGGTACCTCCTTATAATTGGTATTTTGATGATTTGTGTCACACTTTTCTCATGAGTCGATTCAAAGTCGGTATTAGAGTTCCTTATTGGTACCACCCACCCATGACATAAAATATGCTTATGCAGGTCAAGGTCTCCTTATAGACCCCATATAACGGTAGCTCCCAATATTCGGACTTTTGATAATTTCAGACGTATTTTCAACGATTTTTATACCCTCCGCCATAGTATGGGGGGTATATTAAGCTTGTCATTCACACAAAGTACATATATTGGAAATGGAAAGTATATATATTAGAAATGAATACTACAGCCTATGACAGAAAATTGTCTGTGCAGGTATAGCCCTCACATAACGATACCTCCCGATATTCGGTGTTTTGATGATTTTAACGACATTATTCACCGGAATTGTTTCAAATTTGGTATTTGAAGTTCGAAATGGATACTACAGCCTATGACAGAAAAATGTATGGGCAGATCCATGTCTTCGCATAGCCCTCCAACGACGGTACCTCTCGATATTCGGTATTTTGGTAATTTAAGCGACATTATTCACTAGAATTGTTTCAAATTTGGTATTTGAAGTTCGTAACGGATATTACAGCCTATGACAGAAAATTGTCTGTGCAGGTCCACGTCTTCGTATAGCCCTCATATAATGGTACCTTCCGATATTCGGTATTTAAATGATTTTAACGACATTATTCACCGGAATTGTTTCAAACTTAGTATTTGAAGTTCACAATTGATACTACACCCTACGACAGAAAATATATTTGCAGGTCCAAGTCTTCGCATAGGCCCCATATAACAGTGTTTCCCGATATTCGGTATTTTGATGATTTTAGCTACATTATTCACCGACTTTTTTTTCAAGTTTCGCATTTGAATATTGTTATGGCTTATGACCAAAGTTGCCTATGCAGGTCCATGTCGTCGTATAGACCCTGATATAACGGCTACATTCCGTATTTTTAAGATTTCAACAGAATTTTTAACGGATTTTATTTTTTGAAAATTGCCAAATTCGTTCCAAATGGTGGAGGGTATTCAAAGTTCGGTCCGACCAAATTTACAGCCTTTTAACCTGTTTTTATTAAAACAGACTGGTATTCTACATAACATATTCAACTCTTTTTGTTATTTCATTTTACTTTGGTGGAGGGTATAAAAAGTTCGTCCCGGCCGAACTCAAAGCCCTTTTTACTTGTATTAATACGTTTTAAATACTTATAACCGCTCGAATACTTGATCTTAGCACTTGTAGACATATTTCCAAAAGATTTACTTTCCAAACAGTGGGGGGTATTAAAAGTTCGACCCGGCTAAACGTACCTGCTATTTTACTTGTTTTTGTTTTTATATGTAGATAATAATATTTATTTGCAAATATAAACATGTTTACTATCTATTTGTCTTTTTTATCTTTTTCTAAGCTTCAATACTAACATGTAAATCGAATTTTTGGAATAATAGCAAGTACAACTACTAACAATAATAATAACTGCAACTATTTACTGATCAAGCATGAAAAATGGAATACTAACAACAGGATAACCACTACATAATTTATTTTACTACTAACTCCACTTATATTTACTTCAATTAATAATATGCTCATCTATCTAACCCTAAACAAGTGCCTTAATTAAATTTAATATTTTTTAAACTTTTTAGAAATTCATATTAAATATATTTACATCATATACTTAGTATCGAACTATGTAACGAAAAGAAAAATCACTTTGTTAATTTTTACATATAAATAAAAACTATTTAAACATTTGTTTTGTTAAATAAATTGGTTATTTTAATGTTTTATGATCGTCATTTTAAAATAGGATGATATTCATCAAATGAATATTTTACATGCTGCCGCCACGACCATAAATGCCTATGCTCGTGGCTTTCTAGTAAGACGTCTCTTCAAAACGGAACAAATTCAACGTATCGTTCAAACTATACACGATACTTTGATATTTGTTTTAAATTTACATCTGGAAACTTGCGAAAATCCAAATGAGGCAAACAATCCCACAAACATCAAGCTTAAGGCCAGACTGTTACAGCAAGTGAGTAAACTAGTTTTTAATTTTTTTTTATACACTAAAGAAAAGAGGTATCAGATCGATCTATCATATTCAAATTGAGACTATACAGGTTGAGATAAAAATAAACTGCAATAAGGTCAAACGCCATAATTTTTACATTTCTTTAAATTTTATTGAATGAAATCAAAAAATGTTGGAAATAGCATCAAATTTTAGAATAAGTATAGATTTGTTCGAATTGGTCATCTTTGGCACGAATTATGACCTTTAAACGACCAATGAAACCGTCACTCGCTACCCGAATGTTGCTCTGCGGTATTTTGGCTCATTCACGGCGAAGCGCTTGCTTGAGGTGATCGACACTTTGATATTTTTTAGTGCCAACCTTGCTTTCCAAAATACTCCAGACACAATAGTCCAACGGATAGGTATCCGGAGATTTTGGTGGAACCTCGTTTTGTAACTATTCTTGGGTGGCGCTTGCTGAGTGCGATGGTGCTGAGTCCCGTTTGAATGTCCAAGGTCTGCTGCCAAAATGTTTGCGTGCCCAAGGCTTTAATACACCCTCCAGGATATTTTCGCAGTAAATGTCTGGTCTGGTGGCCAACCGAAGGTGCACATTTTCAGCTGACCTCTTTAGCAAGTAAACATGATCATTTTGTTTGTTTGCAAACTATATATATATACATATATATATATATTCCATATAAAGAATGTAAAATATCTTTAAAAATTGATAATTTCAGACATTTTCATAACTATTTTTTCCTACTCATGTTCCTTTTCCATCAGCTATCTTCGGCCACACAAACATTACATTTGGTACTGTTTCAAACATCTATTAAGGAGCGAATGGAAATTATAGCTCAAGATAGGAAACGCATCAAACACAAACTATTAATGACTATGAGTCGAAATAGGTAAGTATATACAAATATACAAATATAAATATACAAATAGTAGGATATTATACCACATACCTTTTTATTATTTTCTCTTCCACAGTTCTGCCAGGAAAACTCCAAGAATTCCAGTTTAAAGATTCTCAAAGAAGCAAATAATTTGAAATTTATTTTATAATTGAAATAAAAAATGGATTTTGCATTAACAAAAAAGTAATTCTGTCGCACAAAACACAAGCATATTGAATTTACGACAAAACACAATTATTAATAATATTTATATTTTCTAAACATATTTAACAAAAAGTGTGAAATGAATAACATGAGTTTGAAACTCTGTATTTCTTTCTTTTACTGAAATAAAATAAGAATAAATTGAAAGAGTATAAATTAGAATTGAATTTTAATGACACGAAGGTGCGGCATATTGATTAAGCTTTTTCAAATCCTCCATGCTATAACGCAACACTGCTGAACATTCCCTTTTTGTGGAATCTTTGGTTAATAACTTTCCATTCGATTCATGATTTTCACATGGCAAATATTTATGCGATACTTCTGATGTCTTTTCTTTTTCTTGTTCTGGTTTTGTTAGAATCTCATTGATCTTTAAACAATTTTGTAAAATTTCTTCCCGAGTTTTGGATGGTTTTTCCTTATCATTTGATGTTGCCTCATTGGGTTGAGCCCGTCCTATACTTATATGTGTCTCCATATGTTTCGGTATTTTACGTTCACATTCAATATCATTTTCTTTTTTATACTCATTTACCGCCTTCGCAAATGGATACAGGGGACGTCCTTTCTGCTGGGCATCCTCTATAAGATTACGTGCATATTCAAAGAAGAATTTATCTTCCTGTTGTGTTTTTTCTTCATTACATGTCCTATTGGCCTGCTTTTGAGCCAATTTATTGCGTTGGTTCTCCTCAATCTGTTTGTTAAGAAAATCACGTGCCTCCCGGGCTTTTGTCAAACGTTCTTGTTGTTGTGTCTCGGCAAACTTCTGATTAACCTCTTCGTTCTTAAAACGTTGTGCCATTTCGAAACGTTTCTCTTCCTCGGCACGACGTTTGGCTTCTTTCTGCTGTTCCATTTCTCGCATATAGGCTTCAATGCGAGCCTTTTTGGCAGCTTTATCCTTGCGTATTTTCTCCTGTTCTTCAGCTGTAAATTTTAGTTGCATTGTAGATATATCACGGCGTACCCGCTCCGACTCCTTAGCCTCGGTATTGTCTTCAATTGCTGTTAGTTTCTTAACTTGATCTTGGATTTTTTGTTGTTGGTCGTCTGATATCTTTTTGCTTTGCTCATTGCGCAGGACACCTAATTGACGTTTGCCTGCATTGTAGACACAACACAGGCGATCCTCCACCTCATCGGTAAGTTTGTCACCTGGAAAAGAAAATAATTTGAGATACGTTTGAATACCACAAAGATAATATGTATCATGGAAATACTTACGCATTCTTCGCTGTTCCACCATTTTCATTGCCTCCAAAGCATTCTTACGCTGAGCTTCCCTTTTCTTTTCCATCAGGGCTTTTTCTCTTTCCAGGTGTGCCTTTAATTCGGAATCATAGATTTCCCTACTTGCCAGTTGTTCCTTCAACTGTTGTTTCCTCTGATCCGTACGCACTTTTTGATTTTCGTTTATTGTCTGCAATAGCTCTTCCTTGTAGAGATTTGTATTTTTCTGTTTGTCCTTTAAACGTTGCTGCTCTTCGTTGATCCAAGACATGGCTTGGCCTTGGCACAACATTTTCTCTTCGCGTTCCTGTTTTATCACAGCCTTTTTAAATTCTTCATTTATTTCACGTTGAACATTGCGGGCGCGTAACACCTCACTTTGCAGTACAGCGGTGTGCAGTTGCCGTGGACCCGGTTTTAGTTTTTCAATCAACTGCTGCGCTTTGGCAATTTTCTCGCGACGTTTTTGAGCTTCATTTTCCTTGGTTTGTTCAAAGGATTCCTTGGCTAAATGGGAGATATCAGAGACAATAACAATAATGCTTTTTTATTTTTATTTTAGCCGGTGAGAAAATTATATAAAATCATTTTATCTTTCAATGACATCGTTATGCCTTCCGCTATTGGTCTTCTATACAAAATAGATGTACAGAAGATGTACTTTATATAATCAAACCTTTTTGGTTTTTTACACAAATCAGATCTTATTGGCCTTCCATATATAAAGACCTTCTGCAATTAGGTAGGAAAGACCTCCACTAGGTTTAAATACGGAATACTTCTATGAATATCCTATATATAGAGTATTTACAATATTTCGATTGTAACCAACTTACCGTCCTTAGTTTTCTTTTCCAAATCATCTTTGATTTGTTGCATCTTTTGTTCCTGAGTTCTTTGCATGTTCCCCTTAAACTTGGCCACCATTTTATCATTTTCCTCCTTCAGTTGTTCAACCAATTTCTTTTCTTCATCGAATTTTTGTCGTGTCTTTGATTTATCCATTGCGGTAGCATTGTTAATAATTTTGTTAAAACGTTGTGAAGATAAAACAACCGGTTTCACATTACGGCGATTATGTGAAATTGTATTGTTAGAATTTTCATCTTTTTTGTCAATTTCCTGATTAGATGAGAGGGGCTTTTTGTTTTGTGTGGCCATTGCAAAAAATCTATTTTTTGCCAAATTAAATAATACTTTCCTCTGTATAGAAATCAATTATTGAAATTTCTCCAAAAAAATGTGTCCCAAACGCAACGGTTGCTGAGTTTTTATTTTCGAAAAATAAATAACTTTGTTTCTAGGGTGATGACAAGTTGTTGTTGTCCAAAGAGTTGATGTTTTGCAGAATAATGTAAATTGTTTACGAACAATTATGTTTGGAATATTTTGTAGTATATTTAGAAACTTTTTATGTATTATTTAAATATTAAAAGTGTTTATTTTATTTTTAACTTATACTAAATATATTTGTAGTATCATAAAACTGAAATATGGCTACTCTATTGCTATGTTGCCGTTACTGTTGTATACACTGACTCCGTACGAAGTCAGCCGGTAATCACAATTTCAGTCGAAACAGTTTTTAAAATTTGAACATGAATATTTGTTGAATAATATTTCCTTGTAAATTTTTACAAATATCCCATGGTAAAATTAAGAAGTTAAGTTCATTTCAAATTGGTACATCCATCTCTGCATTTTCTGTAACTTACCTTGTTAAAGTTTGAAAATGAGTTGTTGTCAAATGAATGACAATATTGGAAAAATTGTAAACATATGATTGCATGATTTTACCATGAAAACATCCAATATATCTCAAATTCTCTTTGGAGATTTTTTCATTTTGCGACAAAATACTGCAAAATGCTGGCAGCTCTAATCAACAACAATTTCAGGGACCGTTTTATAAAATTGCATTAACTGAACATACTCATTAATCTTATTACCTGCAGTCAGCGCCATTACACTTATGTGATGCTAAAATAAAACAAATCAATGTAAAACAAGCAATGTAAATAATTAAATTCCTACGAAATTGTGGTTGTCGTAGTAAATTATAAACAATATTGGCAACTTTACTCTTACTTCATGCCAAGGAGTACGTTCATTGTCCACTGAACATACTAGACATGGATCACCGCTTGCTGTTACACAAAAAGTGTTTTGTTATATCATGTGATTAAACATATTGCAAACATATAAAAAATCCTTAATGGCCGGGAGCTATGTTCATGTTGATAGTTTTTGTTGAGACACGCTTAATTCCCAAAATAATGGTAACTCCCCTTCCAAATATTTATGCCATAAAGTGCGTTCAGTGCACAGTTTATTATAATGTGTCCTCGACTGAATATACCTACTAGCGATTGAGAGCAGCTTAATGCCAGCTGTCAACCGTTACACTTGACTGATTTCAAAATAAAAACAAACCCTCTAATGGTCATTGGCTATCCCCGAAGTTGCGTTTATGTGGACATTAGTTAAAGGTCCCATGCAATGGTGGTGGCGTGTCTCTGCAAATTGTATTAACAAAATAAAAACGTAATTAAAAAGTAAATTAAAACCAATAAAATAATATCAAAAACTGTGTGAAAATGACGGACAAAAACGAATATGGTGCAAAAAAGTTAAATTTAGCTGATTTGTCCAAAATACCGGCAAATGAGTTTGAACAACACTTTCATGAGTGGATGGAACGAGATGATGTTGCGCGGGCTTTACAAGCCAAGCTACGATGTGATTTAATACAAAATTTTAATAAAACCAATCTAGGTAAGTGTGATTTTTACATTTAAAAACATTTTTGAGATGCAAACGGGTTCAATAACCCTTTCACTTTTTAACTTTTAATTTCGATGATATTAGTGTGTCACATTTGTAGGTTGCCAATGGCAACCATTACCACAAGGTGGACATACATATTCATTATGTTGCCTTAATGGGTATTAATTCTTTTTTTTTCTCTTCAATAGGAAAACAAATACAGGCTCACACCATGTCAACATGTGGCGGATCAACATATCGTTTAACCTTGTCACCATTAATTTTGGCGTTAAATACCCTTGTAGCCGAATTTCTCTATGCCCAGAATTGTCATTTCACGCTTTCGGTATTTTGTACCGAAGTACCTTTCCGCAATACTCTACCCGATTTCGAAAGTATGCGCCATTATCGTTTTAATGAAAGAGAAATTAATGAGATTTGGGAGGCTGTAACAGGAACATTGCCGGCAAAAAGATGCTTGGATTCGGCAATACTTGAGGAATATGAAACTGATGCTAGCAACTCTTTATTATTGTTGATCTTGAAAAGTCTGCTCAAAATGAAACCTCAAGAAATGCTGCATAGGACCGTTGAAATACAAACAGAAGACAATACCCCATACCAGCAAAAACAATCCATTTCCGTGCAAGCCACAGCCGTACCTCCATCTCCTAATAAATCTAAAGGAAAAAGTCCAGATAATTTACGTCATATCAATAAATATCTTTTGATACTTTCACAAAAAGTAAATGAAATGACCCGGGAATTTGAAATGCTAGTCAGACAGAAAAATCTTCAAAAACCTCAGAAGTCAAAAAGCGCAAGATCAAGAGATTTCTTAACTTTAAATAAAAGTCTGGAGCGAATCAATGAAAATGTTAAACAATTAACAAAATCTAAAACCAAAAGCCGACGTTTAACAAATGTTGTTGAGTCAATAGATAATTTAACAAAACAATTTAGTAAATGTGCTGAGAGTTTTGGTCAAGTAACTAGGGAATTGACTAAAAAGGAAAGGCAAAATGTTATGGCTGCTAGACTCGAGAAGACAGACTCTAGAGAAAAACAAACTGAAACTGTAGCTCAGGAAAAAACATACGCAGAATGGATTGAGGAGATGCGTACAACGGAAAATGGGAGGAAGTTTTTGGAAAGGGTAAGTAGAAATATATAAAGTTTTTTTTATTAAGGTTTCCAGCGATTGTTACATAAAATTTTCACAATTATGGATCATTACTCTATTCTCATTTTATCCCAATAGGTCGAACATTCTTTGTCAAAGGCAGTGGCTAAACATAAGGAGCAGTGGCAAAATGAAAACGAAATCAAAATGAAGCAAATGAAGAGTTTAATAAAATTGCATTACAAACAGAAAATGCTGGCGGTAAGTTTATAAAATCAAATCGAATTTAAACACAGTGATATTTCAATGTTTTAAATTTAGCTTTTATCAAGACAAAGTTCTGAGGAACAAACAAATGAGGCTCGGAAGCTAAATGAAACCATAGAAATGAAATTGAAAAACTTTGAAACAAAACAAATGGAATTACTGGAGAAATTGCAAGAGTCCTCATTTGAGTTGCAGGAGGCTCAGAGAGTGTTGCAAGAAAAAGTGCAGCAAAAGGAGGTGGTATGTTTTTGGGAATAAATGTTTTTAATGTTATAATAATTATTTCACTTTGTTCATTTATTTTTGGACAGGAAATCGAAGTAACTAAAAAGCAAGTAAATGATCAAGACAATGATATGCACTTGAAAAATAATGAGTGCAGGAATCTAAATCAATCTACCCATTACTTGAACAATAATACAAATTCCAATGAAGTTAAGGAGGTTAATATCACCAGGACATTGGATATTTCAGAAGAGAACTTTACAACTCCCAGGGATCAAAAAGTCGAATACATTATTAATGAGGCCAAGTAAGTGGTTATAGCATTCCTTTGAGCCAAATCTAAATGTTAATCTATTTTATATTTTATTTTTCAGAATCCGTTTAAAGCAACTAGAAACTGAAAGCAATTGCTTGGAAAAACACTTTCAAAATTATCTGGAACGGCGTCGAAAGGAAAACCAATCTCGAGAAGATGCCACATCTCAACTAATACAACAGAGTCAAAGAAAAACTTCTGAAATATTGAGTAAAATTGGATCAAAGCCGACTTCCAGAGCTCTTGATAGGCGACGACAATTCAGTTCCCAAAGTAAATCGTTACCTATCCAAGAAGATTTTGATTTGGATGAGGAATTCATGCAACTCAAGGAAAAACTTACAACAACTCAGGTTAATGTTGAAATGACACCCAAAGAAAATTCTCCAGTGGCTGAATTGAAAAATGCCATTCTGGATGCCAAAAATAAATTCTTTGAAAATGAACAACTGTTTCGGGAACGCAAGGAAAGAGAATTAATAAAGGAATCAATTTCCAATGGCAGATATGAAGATGGCGTTGGTACTCCAGCCAATTTATGGAACTTCAGTACGGATTTGGAAACTCAATTGGATGTGCCCAAGGGTATTGAAAGGGAACAAATAATTGTTTTTAATATAAACACTAAAAGGGAAAACGATTTGGCAAAGTCTGAGGATTCTCTACGTAAACCTAAATCCGACAATGTATATAAAGAAGAACAAATTGTGGAAAATAAATCGAAACTCCTAGACAAAAAATCTCCACGCCGAGAATTGTTTCCCAGCAAAGAACCAGCTATATATTTTGAAGAAAATATGCCTCGAAGAAGTTCCTTACCAACTGTTAATACAAATTTAAGACAAACTTTAAAGGATTTAAAGACCTACACACAAAGTTTAGAACAGAAAAAAGACAAATCTGAAGAGAGCAGTGAAGAGTTAATAAAACAATCCATGGCCAAAATGAAAGAACTTTTTGAGGAAATTGTAAAAGCCAAGGCAAAATTGGGAGATGTTTTAGAAAATACTAAAAATACTATTAAAAATAATGACAACATTGGTGTGTCCGCAGTTGGCGAAAGGACTTTGGACACCTTGGATTTAAATCTAACAAATACCACTACTACAACAACACATACAACCACAATGACATCTACTTCAGCAGTTTCGTTGGAGGAAAGTAATTTTAATGAAAATTTAAATACGAACATGACAAGCACATCGCCACAAGAAACGCCGGAGACTCAATTGAATATGCCGCAAATGAAACAAATAGCATTTAATACAAATAATAAAGTAATCCCTTTGCCTCTTCAGCTTACAAGTGATAGCGAGGATGATAGTCTAAAATTGAACAGCAAAGAAAATCAAGACTCAGCTGCTGGCATCAGTGAGATTTCAAGTGATGAAGATATTATAATGCCTAATGGTAAAAATATAGCGAAAATGTCATTTTCAACCAAAGCCCCGGATGGCAGTATAGAAATTGGTGAAGCAATAAGTGAAACACAACCGGAGTTTATATCATTGCCTCGTTTAAACAGCACCAGTGAAAGTTCCGAAAGCACAGATCCAGCATTAGTCATGCCCATGGATAGAATGGGAACTAACAAGAAAGCACCAAATAGTTCAAATGATGAAAGTGAAGGAGATTTTTGGGCCTAGAAGTGGCTTACCAAACATTTTTGTGAATGGGTTAATTTTGTTAAAATAAAATGCATTTATATTTTATAGAAAAAATAATAGTTTTTTTCAAGGAATGATAATGATTGATTCTTCAATTAGGATTTCTTCAAGATTTTTAAGGACTTCAAAGTTTCCGATCTTTTTAGAATATTTTGTCAAGGACCTCTTGTCACAACAAGTCAAACGCCCTAATTTTTACTTTTTTTTATAAATTTTATTGAATGAAAGCAAAAAATATTGGCAATAGCATCAAATTTTGGAAAAATTTTAGATTTCTTCGAAATGGTCACCTTTGGCACGAATTATGGCTTTCAGACGGCCAATGAAACCGTTACACCGCCCATTCCCGGCGAAGCGCTTGCTTGAGGTGATCAACACTTTGGCATTTTTTAGTGCCAACCTTGCTTTCCAAAATACTTCAGACACAATAGTACAACCGATTGTTATTCGGAGATTTTGGTGGCCAGTTTGTAACCATTCTTGGGTGGCGCGTGCTGAGTGCTGTTGGAATGTCCAAGGTTTGCGGCCAAAATGTTTTGCGTGCCTAAGGCTTTAATACACCCTCCAGAATATTTTCACGATAATATTCGGCATTTATTCTGATGCCATGGTCGATTAATACGAACTGAGAGGGATCATCGGGTGTTATGGCGCCCCACACCATCACCATGGCCTGCGCTTGAGTTCTGGTGGCCAACCGAAGGTGCACATTTTCAACTGACCTCTTTGGCAACTGATGATCGTGTTCATTTTGTTTGTTTACAAACTGCTGGACAACGAATGTACTCTCGTCGGAGAAAACCAAATTCGGCAGTTCACCACTTTTGGCCAAGCGAAGCAACTCTTTAGCTCTTTTGAATCTATTTTCTTTCGGTTGCGGTGTAAGTTCTTGCACTTTTTGGAATTTCAATGGATTTACCCCGAGCTCATCTTTCAATATTTGCCGAATGGAATATAGTGATATGTTCAGCTCACGAGCCATTTTTCGGCCACTGCGACGCTGGTTTACATCAAGTCGCTTCCTAACTTTTCGAACCATTTCTGCTGATGTTGCTGTTTTCTTCCGTCCACTTCCTTGACGTCGGGATACGCTACAAGTATCACGGTAACGAGCGACGGTACGAGAGACAAAAGATTTATGCTCTAACGATAGCCACTTGTAGTTTTCCGAACTTAAGTTTCCCAGTCAAATATAAAGAAATCACACACTATCACGCTTGAATTCCATCACCAATAACATTTTTTCTGGAAATTTTTCAAAAATTTTAACAGCTGTCAGAAGAGTGGCTTAAAAATGGCAGCAGTCTGGAATTGGTTGCCGTTTTTTCATCTCGCCCTGTATTTCATGGACCATCAAAGATTGTAGATATTTTTCGGAAGGACTGCGAAACTACAATTGTTTTTTTTTTTTTAAAGAATTTTTCCAAGCACCTGCAAAGCTAGTCTAGTCTCTCACGAATAACTCTCTTTTGCAGAAATATTGTGATAAGATAGGATTTTCAGTAAAAATTTGCAACATGTGTTGGTTAACCCGATAGACCCAATATTCCTAAGAAATTTTTAAAATGGGCTGATAAAATATTTCTACCGCATAGACAGAATACGCTTCACTAAATCTAGAAAAACATTTAAGTACTTTCCCCACCAACCATTTTATCTTCAACCTTGGTATTGTTTTGGTTTTCCCAAATCTATTTCACTTTCTGTTTGCATAATTGAAATCCTTTAATCAAATCAATAGTTTTAATGTAACACTCTTACTCTTAAGCACTCTCATTATCAAATAATTTTATAATAAACTATTTTAGCTTTATGGTTATTAAATATATATTTGAATTAGATACAAAAACCTCATCTTCGAATATTGTTTACTTTCTTTATCAGTCGATACTCTTCTCTCCTCTCATCCATCCATTAACAATGACTTTTGTGCTAGGCATTAAATTTAATTTTCCTTCAGCCGGAAATAACCACAGAATGACTGACTTTGCAACTATTAAATCAATTATAAGGTTATGCGTGTTTGTTTGTCTGTACGTCTGTCTTAGAGATGTTTGCCCACTTACCTATAAAATAATAATAATTGATGTTGAGATATAAGGGTGTTCAGATAGAAATTAGGAAAATAAAAAAAAATATTTAAACGAAATCTTTATTTGAAAAAACCTCAAGACAATGGAACTTGCTTCATATATTATTCTGGTAAATGAATACAGGATATGTCAAAATTATTTAAATGTTTTTTTTTTTTTCAAAAATAAGTATATTTGTATATGTTTTCCTGTACGACTCTAATCCGAGATTGTTATGATATGATTTTTTTAAATAATTTTTACAATTTAAACAAATTTTCATTCAAAAATTTCAATTCCAAAATTGGTTTGACAGTACATTGTCCCAGCAGCAGTGTCGATGCGGCTACCTGTATTCTACAATGTACAGGGTGAGATGAAAAAACTGCAACCAACTTCAGACTGCTGTAATTTGTAAGCCACTCGTCCGACAGCTGTTAAAATTATTCCAGTGACAGCTCATTATATTGTTTACAAGCTTAGAAAAGCATTTTGGTGAGAATTTTCCAGAATAAAAGTTATTCGTAATGGAATTCAAGCGTGATAGTGTGATTTCTTTATATTTGGCTGGAAAACCACAAGTGGCTATCGTTAGAGCACTGCAGTGTGTTGCTTCGCCTGGCCGAAAGTGGTGAACTGCCGAATTCGTTGTCCAGCAGTTTGTAAACAATCGAAATGATCGTATTTACTTGCAAAAGAGGTCAGCTGAATATGTGCACCTTCGGTTGACCACCAGAACTCAAGCGCCGGCCATGGTGATGGTGTGGGCCACCATAACAGCCGATGGTGGCATCAGAATAAATACCGAATATTATCGCGAAAATATTCTGAAGGCTGTATTAAAGCCTTGGGCACACAAATATTTTGTCCGCAGACCTTGGACATTCAAACAGCATCGCACTCAGCACGCGCCACCAAAAAGTGGTTAAAAAATGAGGTTCCTCGCTTCATTTCCCACGCACAATGGCCACCAAAATCGCCGGATACCAATCCGTTGGTCTATTGTGTCTGGAGTATTTTGGAAAGCAAGGCAAAAATACCAAAGTGTCGATCACCTCAAGCAAGCGCTTCGCCGAGAATGGGCCAAAATACCGCAGAGCAACATTCCCGCAGCGTGTGACGGTTTCATTAGCCATTTTAAGACCATAATTCGTGCCAAAGGTGATCAATACGAACAAATCTAAAATTATTCTAAAATTTGTTATTCCGACATTTTTGCTTTCATTTAATAAAATTTAAAAAAATGTACAAATTACGGCCTTTGACTTTGTTGCAGATTTTTTTCCTGTACGACTCCAATCGGAGGTTGTTATGATATTAATTTTTTTAACAATTTTTACAAATTTAAATAATTTTTCATTTAAAAATTTCAATTCCAAAATTGGTTTGACAGGACATTGTCCCAGAAGCTGTGTCGATGCGGCTACCTGAATTGTGCTACCATGTATATAATTTGCCAATACAATAGTCAAAAATTGTTTGGCTTTAAAAATGCTAGAGAGTAACATGGCAGAAGAACACGCTTGTGAGCATTGATATGTCAAAAAAATTTAAATGTTTTTTCAATTCTGTTTCTTTTACGGAGGTTATTATAATTCGTGTTTTTCAACAATTTTTTACAAATTTAAATAATTTTCGTGTTTTGCCTTGTTTAATTTTCATTCAACATTTTCAATTCCAAAAAGAATACCTATATTCTTCATGAACAGTAAGGAAAACAATCGACTCAGTTTGTATGTTGTTGAAAAATACAACTCTGTTTCCCAACAAACTACCTTGTGTGAACGGCAGGTTAGTATTGCCAAATGTGTCAAATTTAATTCTATATTTCAGATTGTAAGGGCCCTGAAACTTAAAATTCGACTAAAACCAATATTCAAATATATATAATTTTCCAATTCACATATTCATGTGTTTGTGTGTGTGTCTACATTATCCAACTTCTTCTCTGCTTATCTGCATAGCCTCAAAATATTGCCGAATGCTTTCTTTATACACTTCAAACATGTGACAAAAGTTTGCCATAACTTCTCCTACAGGAAGTTACCAACTAATAATTCTCTTTTTGGGTCTGGATTGTTGAATTGGCGAGGGGGTGAAGGGGTTTCTTGAATGAAACCCTAAAGCACCAACAAATGTTAAGAATTTACATTATTGTACTCAAAGGTGAAATTACATTGACAATTGCAACAAACTTATAATTACAGTTATTCTCCTGGCTTAAACGAAACCATTTGCAATTTAAGTTACAAAAGTTAAGTAAAACGATTTGTCGTTTTTGACAATGCCATGAAAATTAATCAATATAAGTATTTAAGAACACAGTGCAACACAAAAAATTATTACAGGAAAAAAATACGAGTAGATTATGAAAGTAGAGCAAAAAATTGAAAACAAGTGGATCGACGTTTTGAAAATTTACATTACAAATTTGTCTAAAGAGAGTATTAAGTTCGGATTAAGATTTCTCGAAATTATTATATTCTAGGCATACAGTGTCTATGGCAATATAACTGATAACATTACGAAGTTTATTTTGATCGGAAATTTTAATCCTCAAGCGAGGAAACTTAGGTGTACTTTTTGTCCCTTTTTCAAAATAAGGCAAAATAAAAACTCCTCTTAAACGTTACAAGTCAGACTATTTTACAAAATTATTTGTCAAAAATTTCCAATATAGGCCTCAGAAAACATCAAACCTCTAACTCTAACATAAACGCCAGCAATTAAAATATATTAAAAACACATTTTAGGTTAAAACGTACTTTATGTGAGTTTATACAAAAATCTCCTACAAATCATCATTTTAGAAGGATGATGTAAAAGACAAAAACATTCCTCATCAAATTTCAATATAAGTCACTAAATAGAAGAAATCTAATTTTCCATTAGATATCAAGAAAATAATTGCAATCTGTCCACATTTTTGAATCTGTTTTTCCTTGGACTTTCTTTGAATTGATGCTTGAAAGTAACATAAATCGTAG